CTCTCTCTCTCTCTCTATGCTCTTCTCTTTCTCTCTCTCTTTTTCTCTCTCTCTCTCTCGTGCTTTCGCTCTCTCTTCTCTCGCCCTCTCTCTCTCTCTCTCTCTTCTTTTTCTTCTCTCTTGCTTCGCTTCTTTCTATCTTCTATCTCCCTACTTCTTTACTCTCTGCTCTCTCTCTCTCTCTCTCTCTCTCTCTCTCTCTCTCTCTGCTCTCGCTCTCCTCTCTCTCTCTCTCCTCTTCTCTCTCTCCTCCTCTCTCTCTCGTCTCTCTCTCTCTTCTTCTCTGCTCAGTCTCTCTCTCTCTTCTCTCTCTCTCTCTCTCTCTCTCTCTCTCTCTCTCTCTCTCTCTCTCTCTCTCCTCTCTCTCTCTCGCTCTCTCTCCTCTCCGCTCTCTCTCTCTCTCTCTCTCCTCTCGTCTCTCTCTGTGCTTCTCTCCTCTCTCTCTCTCTCTCTCTCTCTCTCTCCTCTCTCTCATTGCCCGTGCGCGCACAGTAGCTGACTCTGTAATCCCCGCCCTGGCCGCTGGCCCAGCCACCTAATCCTCCGCACTCGGCGCCCCGACAAGTACCGGAAGGTGCATAGGAATCAAACCCAGCGCGAAACATTAGCTGGCGTGTGAATTAGGTTCGCGCGAACGCAAACATGCCCTGCGCTCGTGGCCAGCTTACGGCAATTAATAAGCACGATTAATGTGAAATCGGACGCTGTGCTTGCGAGCGCGATACCGCGAGCAGCTGATTTGCCGTATTGGCATCTTAATCCGAATTTTCTTATGCTGACACGCTGCAATAACATGTCAGAGCGTGGATTACTCGCTATTGCTGATAGATAGATAAGTTCGTTACTCCCCCGCCGCCTGAACAGTCAGTGATGTGCTGAGAAGGTGGCGCACGTGCTAGCGGTTCCCAGATGTGAAATAATCCTCGATGATAGCAGCGTGATTTTATGTCGACATGCATTTATTTCGATCGCGTGCAAAACAACACCGAGTCACCAAACAGAAAGCTCACGGATTATGTGCCGTCATTCCTTCGCCGCGGGGGTGGCGCGGCAACACGACGCATGCTGCCGCGAGCCGGTGCCGCCACCTGCCGACACGACTTTTTTTTTGGGCCCGGGCCCTCCGCTGACAAACAAACGCGTCCACAATGTGACGTCACAATAGAAGTAAGGCGACATCTAGCGGTGGTTCGAGGCAGTGAAATCGCGCCGCGTTGGCTCGGCGAGAGCAGAGAAATAATCGCCGACTAACGTGTGCTAGCTGTTACTATGCAGACAGCAGCGGCGCAGAAGACCGGGGCGCGTTTCCCCAGTGCAATAATATATATACTATATATATTAATTATATATATATATGATATATATATATATATGTATATGTGCGCAGCGGCTGCGTTTACGATCGCACGCATAACCAACACACTTAGCGGCAAAGTAATCGCATCCGCACGCATTCACCCAAAACCTCCCCCCAAAAAAACGAAACGCACGTAGGCATACACTGCGCCTACACCACACACACATAGTCCTACACTACACATACACCACGCACACATAGACATACGCTACAGCATGACACCACACACAGCATTAGACATACGCTACACATACACCACACACACATAGACACACATAGACCTACACTGCGCCTACACCACACACACGTAGGCCTACACTACACACACATAGCCATACACTACACATACACCACACACGCATAGACATACGCTACACATACACCGCACACGCATAGACATACGCTACACATACACCACACACACATAGAATCACGCTCACATACACCACACATCAACGTTAAGTCATACCACTACACATACACACACACAATAGACAATATGCCTACACAATACACCACACACACATA